TCCAGACACTAGGACATGGTCATTGGAATCGTTAGGGGTATACACATGCAAGTCTTTCTTCAGGTTCCTCATTAACAACCACTCTTTAAGCCAGTTTCACATTACTAAAGTGTTTGGGGAAGTGCCTGTTCCATCAAAGATTAAGGTGTTTACTTGCACAGCCATGCATCAAACACTCAATACAAATTATTCAAAAAAAAAAAACATTTACTAGTGAGATATTACAAATTGTCGTCCTCACTGCGTCTTAACTCTGGGTATTTGTGCCATGTGCTTTAAAGGAGAAGAATCGTGCTCCCATTTATTCCTCCATTGTAAGATAGCTTGGAAGATCTGGACAGGAATACTCAGCACATTTGACTTAGTTCGGCTACTCCTACAGTAGAAAGCTTCTACACATAAATGCTAACAGAGCTAGAAACGTAGTGAGGCCATTACTAGAAATAGGCTATTTTCTCTGGTTTATCGATATTATTTTGACGACAGACATACATCTTTCCATGCGATTTGGGACAAAATGACATTTTCAGCAACTTTATAGTAAAGGCACATGGTTATTTCTCTAAGATAACTATTTCTGACCTCCATTGGAATTGGGAGACTATCATATTTGTTCACTAATAGCTCATTCGTCTTGTTCTTTTATGTGCTATAAAGGTTTTCTCTTTCTTTTTTGCTACTTTTAGGTGGATGTCTTATTGTCCTCTTTGTACTCTTCTTCCCCTATCTCAATAAAGTTTCTTTTTCTATTTAAAAACGAAAAGTTTCTTAGCGTTGAACATGTCAATTAGAAAAGGCTAGGAAACAAAATACTAGTTTTTGTAATCCCTTCCTTGTTCCAAATGAGCCTTTGAAGGATCTAAATATGAACTTTGTGTTAGGGTTGCCTACAACACTGGGCATGATTCTATTTTTGTAGTTGTGGATAGATTTTAAAGACGGCTCATTTTTATCCTTGTAGCAAAATAGATTATGCAACTCATACTGATAGGACAATTTTAAAAGAAGTATTAAACTAGATGGGTAACCTTCCACCATAATATCAAATAGGGATGTCAGTGTACAAGTTATTTTTGAAAGACACTCAGGAGAGAGTGGTTGAAACTCCTTAAAATTCTCGTCTGCTTTTCACCACATATTGATGGATAAATTAAACAAATTGGGGTAGTTAGACTTAGTTTAGGTAATTTGCTTAGGTGTATTGTAAGAGACAAGCAAGGTACTTGAGATCTAAAATTACCTCTTGCGAAGTTTGCTTATAACAACCATGCTAAATGGTTTACAAAAAAAAGAGTCCTTTCATCATTGTTTAGGGCTATTCACCTCATGCACCATTGATTTGCCACCTCTCCCTCATCATGATACCCACCTTTCTCAACCTGCTGACTCCTTTGGCCAACATATGCAAAAATTTGCACGCCAAGAGTCGACATCGAATTGCTATTGAGAAATGCAGATCATAACTTTGCCAGGCGATGCCATAATGCTGAGAGTTTTTTTTTTTTTGATCATATCATGGTTTGTGTAAACCAGATGATATCATTCCCACACAAAGTTACATGCTTGAGCCATGGG